TCGGCGGGGAGCTGGTGGCCTCGGTCGTGGGGGGCGGTAGGGAGGTCCTGGTGCTGGAGGTGGCCCCGGCGGTGCTGGGCACGGTGCCGGGGAGGCCGGACGAGGTCTCGGTGCGCCACGTCGGGGACGCACTGACCCGGGTGCTGGGCGGGGAGCGGGAGACAGTGGTGGGCGTGGTGGTGGGCATCGCCGAGGTACGGGAGGTCTTCGGGGACAGGGAGGGGGCCGTGGTGGTGGCGCAGTGGCTGTAGTCCTCACAGCAGAGCAGTCGCGCGTGGAAGTTGTGGCAGTAGGGCAGGGGCCCCGGCTGCTCGCGGTTGCGGCACACCAGCCCAAAGCTCACGTTGCACTGGACCACCTGCCCCACCTCCTCCAGGGGCGCATCGGGCACCTTCTCTGATCGGCACTCGATGTCCCGGGGCCGGTCACAGAAGACGTGCCCGGCCAAGCGCCAGACCGCGAAGGTCTCGAAGTCCCCGCCGTCGGGGCCCGGTATGGGGTAGTCCTCGTCGAACCAGTCTGTCCACGCGCACCGTGGCCTGCAGCCCGGGGAGGATGAGGGGGCCAGCGTGTGCGTGGTGGAGCCGGACTGTGGGGCTGTGGAGAGCGGCGTGGTCCTGGAGGTGGGCCTGCTGGGCCGGGACGAGGGGGTGGCCCGCCCACTGGAGGTCACCACAGGGACCGTGGTGGGTGCGTGGGCTGAGGTGGGCTTGCTGGTCGTCGTGGGGATGCCCGGAGAGGAGGAGGGGCTGGGGCTGGAGACCCTCTCTGTGATCCTGGCAGAGGGAGGAAGCGTCTGGCCGGTGGCCACAGAGAGTCTCTGGGTGGTCTGGGGGGAGGAGGGACCTGGCTGGGAGGTGGGGACAGTGGCCCTCCAGGTGGTCCCAGAGGAAGGGGGACGGGTCTGGGTGGTCCAGGGGGAGGAAGGAACTGTCTGGGAGGTGGGGAGAGTGACCCTCCAGGTGGTTCCAGAAGAAGGAGGGGCCTGGGTGGTCCTGGGGGAAGAAGGAAGGATCTGGATCGTCCCAGAAGAAGAAGAAAGTGTCTGGGTGGTCCGAGGGGAGGAGGGACCTGGCTGGGAGGTGGGGACAGAGACCCTCTG